AATTTTTTTGGTGATATTCCAGAAGAGGGAATTGTCGTACATGGAGAGGGAGGTGAGGTAAGAGTTAAAGGATTGGGATTTGAAGTAGGATAATTCTTGCTTCAGTTGCTTACAGTAATAGTTATAGGAACGGCGATCGGCTGGATGTCTAGTGCGTTGCCATAATTATCTGGCACAGCGTTTAATATGGATTAGGTCGAGGAGATGTTGAGGTAAATTATTTCTTTTAAGGATTTTTGGAGAGTGATTTGAGGAGGAAGCAGTCCAGACTGCTTGTTGAATCATGGTGGTAAAGAAATGTACGGCATTGTCAAGGTCTTCTGCGGTTTTCAGGGTTATTCTGAGTTCAATTTGATCGGAAAGGATTTAATGAAAGAGTTTCCAGTTGACAGGACCTCTGATAAAGGACGGTGGAGAGGGTTTATGAATAGGAGCTAGTGATTCTTGGAATATTAATGGACTGGGGTCTGAGGAAAGTTCATCCAGACGTGCAATGGAATAGTTGAGGGAACCTAAACCACTGTGGATGAAGAAATTAAGGATATCGGGATTGCGGTTAGGATCAGTGGGCCCGTAGGTAGGTGAGGTCGGAAGAACAAGGTTAAAACGTTGGGAATTGAGTGCAGACAGCAATGGTCTACGATGTGAGTTCTTGGTTCTTTAACCCCACTGTTGATGCTTTGGGTTTAAGTCTGCACCCAGGATGAAATGATGTCCTAAGGAATTGAGGAGGGAACTAAATCGGGCATTGGAAAGGGATTGATTAGGAGGGCAATACGCTGATGCAACGGTAATAGGAAATGAGAAGGTTTTGATTATTATAGCAATTGTAGGAAATCGTGGGTTGGTGTTGGGAGTAGGTGAGGAGAGAGAGATTGGTGCACAAGGACAGCAGTACCGGCATGTGCCCTACCGTCAGGATGGTCGACATTGTTTTCGCTCGACGACTTTTTTGTTGGCAACTGCAACTTGCCCAACTGACCTGTTGATATCTAACTGCATGGAACTATGGCGAGATAAAGAAATTATCCACCTTAACTTCTATTCACTGTTCACAACAGTACACAATAAATAACAACTGCGAGACTTTGTGATTCTTGAAACCCATAGTTGATGCTTGGCGTTTAAGTCTGCACCCAGGATGAAATGGTGTCCTAAGGAATTGAGGAGGGAACTGAATTGGGTATCAGAGATGGATTGGTTTGGAGGGCAATACGCTAATGCAAGGGTAATAGGAAAGGAGAAGGTTTTGATTATGATAGCTGTGGATTGCAGGAAATCATGGGTCACCAATCACAAGGGATTGGTGTACAATGACTACAGTGTCGGCATGTGCTCTACTGTCAGCATGGTCAGTACGGTATGTGGAGTACTGTGGTATTTTTAAAGTTTGTTTTTTGGTCAGTTGAGTTTCTGTAATAAGGGCTACATCAACGTTCTTGTCTAATAGTAGAGCTGTCAGTTCGTCGATGTGGTTTTTAACACCATTCGCATTCCAAAGAACAATGGATAAAGGTTTGGAGGAAATCATTTAAGGATTTTTTAAAGGAGGGATGAGGTGGGATACTAGATTTGTAAGGAGAGATATCAGTGGGGTAACAAGGGATTTGAATTCAGTGAGGAAAGATGCCAACAAACTGGTAAGGTCTGTGGCTTGTGATGGAGGGATGTGATGTTGATGAGGTTGTTGAGGGTTTTGTACTTTAGGAGGGATAGGATGTTGAAGTTGGGATTGGGGTTTCTGTTGTGGCAGGGCCTCACATTTGTCAGTCGGGGCTCTGCCCCCTAGTAACTGGGAAAAATAAACTTTAGAGTCTACTATTTTAGCAGGTCCTCTTCTGGGCTTAGAGTTTTGTTCTTGGGTTCCGGGTTTGTGAAATTTATTTTTGATGTTTTTGTAGTATAGTAGACATCCCCCTGTATTTACTCCTTTAGATGACAATGTGTGAGGGAATGAGAAGGTATATATAATATATAGGAATGTGAGGTAGCACTGTGAATTGTACTCAATTGTGCAGTGGACAAATTGCTCATTGGAAAATCTCACATCGATAAACAATCGAAAAGAAGAAAAGGTCCGATCAGGTAGCTGGCAACAGATGGTGAGGACGATGCCAAACACTTGAGGCCTGGACACCAACACAAGACGTCATCTAGGAAGAGAGGCTTACTACATTGAAGACCAAGATTATCAAGCCGACCGTTCACTTATATGTATTCATTTATTATCAATTGTTAAAATAAATTTGTTTTGTTAGACAGGAGTGAATAGTCATTTTATTTAGTTGTCCTATAGGCCTCACAATTGAAGAATAAACCAGGTGAGTCAATTCATTCAAAGTGTTTACTAAGCCCCACATTTCATATATATATATTCTTATTGTTTCTTCTCACACAGGTAATAGATCCCCGAATTCCCAATCACAGTTAAACAACCTCAAAAAGTCGATATCCAGTGCCGGGGTTTTTGTTTTAATAATTCACGAGTATAAATAACCTTAAGCCCCGATATAAAAGCGGAAGGCTATTCGCTTTTCCCGCCAAAACATAATTATTTTACATTTAACTTCCTGTAGGTTATTTACAGTAGACTTGGCAGCCCTTGTAGTTGGTAGGATGTCCTACCAGGCAAAAAGCATATACAGCGGGAGTAGTTTTCAATTTATTACATCCACTAGTCTTGTGTGACTCTCCGCATTTCACGCATCTTGGAAGTTTTGGTGTGGCCATATGCCTGGCAATTATGACACTGGATGATTTCTCTTTTAGTGTATGGTTTTTCAACCTTAACACTAGTATAATATAATCTTTTAATTTCATATATTTTATCAACTCCTGCTGAGGGTTCCAAATCTATGAAAAATATGGGTGATGATATTTTTCTATTAGCACCGGATACATCTCTGTCGTCCTTCATTACATTGGTGACCTGTCGGACTTTGAAACCTAGGGCCGTCAGTTCTACTTGGATCGCCTCGGCTGGAGTAGAGGGGTGTAAATTCCGAATTACTAACCTCACGGAACGCTCTCGCCTCAATTGGCAGGTGTGAAAATCTGCATTTGTGTCGGATAGATATTTAATAACTTGGCGGTATGCATCAGCTGTGCCTAGGGATATTTTAATATAGTTAGTCCGGCTTAAACAGGAGTAGCTACCAGGAGTTGTTATTTTGTTTAAATGTGTGCATAGTAACGGGAAATTTTTTAAATTTTTAACGGAAATTGGAGGAGGTGGAGGGTCTCTGGGAATAGGTGCAGATTTCATCACCTCTTTTTCATTTTGCAGTACTTCGTAAGGATTCGGGGTGAAAAATATAGACTCATCTATTGTATCCTGAGATGATCAGGGCTGAGGTTGAGTGTCTTCTGCTACTTTAGGTGGAGTCGTTTTTTTCGATTGGCGACTTTTTTTTGTCCGCAGGTGACGAACGTGGTGTTGATACGGCAGAGCAAGACCTCGTTATTGCACCCTTAGAAGACATGAGTTGATGGTAGAATAGCATAATACATCGAGAGAAAGTAAAGGAAGAAAAAAAAAAAAAAACGAAATAAAAAATAAATTTAAAACACGCTGCGTGACCTTGATTTTGTCTCAGCGTTGCAAAAGGACCTCTCCTGTTAAGACTCCAAGCCCAACTGACTATCTGGGCTAGGTACTTATGGCCGTGAGATAAGAGAACTAGCCTTTATACACCGGTTTTACTTCACATGACTGTAAACAATAAATAACAACTGTACTCACTGTGGCATTAGTGCATATTATAATCCAGGTGTTTAGCTCAGTATAGTCACAATTTAATTAAAAAATAACACTAATTCCACAAGAAAAAGTGAATATATTTAAGAGACAAGATAACTGTGGTATGTTATAATCTAGCGCATCCGCAGAACTGACATGGAATTAAGAATTTTTCAGGGAAGTATGATATACAAATACATTTTTTTTTATTGATGATACTTGCAACTGTATTAAAAAAAAAAATACATCTAGTAAATGTGAACAAAGGAGTATAATGACATCAAAAGACTTGTGAGAAACCATCCACTTGTAGCACTCTAATACACATAAATTTAAAGGGCTGCAAGGAGAAAACTTTAGTGACAGAATATAGTGACACACATTTTTTGACCACCTTTTAGAAATGAAACACGGGATAGTGATAGTAACAGAATGTATACAAGAACACTCCTGAATTTGACTGCAATGTTGTGTCAATCGCAGAAAAACTTTTGAAGATTAACGATAAAGTACAAACAAATACTTACATTTTTAATTATATAGATGATGGGATACTAATAAGAAATTGTCTAGGTGAAAATTCTAAGCAAAACATTTTAATTTTTTTATTCCTATGAAAATTTGTATCTATTTTTTTTTTGAGATGTGAAATTTATAGAGGCAAGGTGTACCCCAAAATGGTCTCCCGACCTCAGGATCAATCCACGGCTGATGAAAAATTACTTGTCATCAGCCAGATTCAAACCCAGCAACTACAACTTAGCAGCCCGGTACCTACTCACTGAGCTACTCTGCTCCCCAGGTTAAAATGAAAGTAGATATAAGAGGCAAGGTGTACCCCAAAAGGGTCTCCCGACCCCAGGATCAATCCACGGCTGATGAAAAATTACTTGTCTTCAGCCAGATTCAAACCCAGCAACTACAACTTAGCAGCCCAGTACCTAACTCACTGAGCTACTCTGCTCCCCAGGTTAAAATGAAAGTAGATATAAGAGGCAAGGTGTACCCCAAAAGGGTCTCCCGACCCCAGGATCAATCCACGGCTGATGAAAAATTACTTTTCATCAGCCAGATTCAAACCCAGCAACTACAACTTAGCAGTCCAGTACCTAACTCACTGAGCTAATCTGCTCCCCAGGTTAAAATGAAAGTAGATATAAGATATAATTATTCATTACATCCATAGAATCATAAATATTTATATAGGATAAATATCACAACTTCAAATGAATATTATACCATAAAATAAAACAGAACAAACCTGAAACTATAACTTAAGTTGTCCAATTTTCTTTCTGAAATAGGTGGATGGTGCTTTTTCTTGCGGAATACTTGAGTAAATGCAGAAGTAAAACTTCGTTTAGTATCTGAAAATGAAGAATAGTATTAAATTCTCAACCAAATTAATATCCTAAAATAAATGGGATTTTTAAATATATATACAGGATATCCCATAAATAGAGATAAATATTTAAAAGATTGATAGTAGACATCAAGATCTACAAAAAGTTTATATAAACAATTGCCCGATTTCCATCAGAAAAGTAGGAACTTTTAAGATTTTTTTTTTTAAACAAGTTGTGCTTTTTTTGAATAGGAAGCAATAACTTAACAAATATTTGATTTACGTAACTAAACATTGCTCCATAATAAACTAGACAAAATTTACTTTAAACGAAAGTAGAGTTTCTCATTGTTAAAACTATATAAGGAGGACTATAGGGCAGACACAGCTAAGTTCCATTTAAAAAAAAGTCATAAATTATTTGTTTGTTTTTTTTATTCACCCATCAACTGTACTACATTTACCCCACTTTTAGAAAAACTTCCTTGTTTAGAAAAGCTTACAGTCTATATTAATTAAGACTTGTTATTAAAAATAAATAAATAAACATTCTCAAACCTTATAGTTACAGACAAAACATTTTTTTACTGATTGACATTAAAAGTTCTGATTCAAATACACAGTTCACCGATACTTGGCTAGACTTATTTATTATTGATGCTCTTCATAACCTATTATCCTCTAGGCAAATTCCAGTTTACAGTCAAAAACCTAGGAGGAACCTTTAACCAGAACCTCTCCTGGAATAACCATATTTCCCAGATTACCTGAAAATCAATAACTGTCCTTATACAACTCCTAAGATTCTGTGATTGTATTCCTCTAAAAATCAGACTACTCCTTGTAACCTCTCTTATATTCCCCCACTTCAACTATGGCTGCTTCGTGTATGGAGGGCTATCTGCCAGGCTAGAAATGAGACTAAGAAAATCATGGACTGTTTCATAAGATATAACTTGAGAATCCCCAGGCGTTCTCATGTTTCATTCTGGTAGCTGAAGTGGTTTTATCCTATTTTCTGGCGACAATTCCTCCTTGGTGTTTTCCTTTTCCAAGACTTCAGAACCAAAAACCCTCCCTATATCCTGGAACTCTTTACTCTATGTTCATCTATCCACTCTCTCAATACCAGGTCTCAATTTATAGATTTATATATCCCCTCCCATAAAACTACTTCCTTCGTCATTCGTGCTACCTCCTTTTGGAAGTCTTTATCTGCCTCCATACATCAATCCTTGTCCACAAATCCCTTCAAACAACTCCTGTTCTACCACCTACTCCATATTCAAACTTCCGTAAACATGTAAACTATACTTGCATCTGAAAACGGTTTAATTCAATCAACTGCACAATTGCAATAACAATCAACAGTTAATTAGGCATCATTTTGTATTCTTCTACGCCAGACTAAGACTCTGTTGTTATTCTTAGGGGACTGTAGTCCCAGAATAAAATAATTTTTTCATTCATTTCATTTCATATTGATCTGGTTTATTGATAAAGCTCCTACATTTATCTTGATTAGACTAGAGCCCGGTTACCTATTATATTCTCGTAACACGGATATATCCGGTTTAGTAGGATATTGATCATTATCTTGTAGGGAACCGGAAGGAGTGCTATGCCTTTGTAAATACTACACTCATACATGTAGTATTTAAACAGTTCTGATGGTAGGTTGTCTATCCCTGGGGCCTTTCTTGTTTTAAGTCTTTCGATAGCTATTTCTACATCTAGTATATCAGGTTTTTCAACCACTTCTGGGTCAAGATCTTCAGTGATGTCCATATCTTGTTCATTCGTGAGGTCTCCTTGATTGAGAAGTTCCTGGAAATGTTCTTTCCAGATGTTCAATATACTATCTTTAGATGCTGTCAGAATGCCATCTTTTCCTCACATTTCCGCATTTCTCGGTTTATACTCTACCCTTTCTTTCCTAATGTATGTGTAGGATTAGCACATATCTCCAGCCTGCCAGTTGTCCTCAATGGTTTGCAATCTTTCTTTGAGGAATTCCTTTTTGCCGATCTTATAGTTTTGTTTGCCTTTTTCTTGGCAGCTGTGTACTTGTCCTGAGCAACTTGATCAGTTGTAGTTAGGCAGAGGACTTTCATTTTTCTTCTTTCCTCTACTGCCTTTTCGCATGCTTCTGTGAACCATATCTTAGCTTTTCGTTTCTCCTGAATACCGATCACTTCCTTACCTGTTTCTTTTAGCACTTTCTCTATTTCCTCCCAGTGTTGATCCACCGTGAGGCTATCCGAATCCAAGGGTTCAAATTTATTTTTCAGCTCAAGTTGGAATTTGTTTTTTATTTCAGGATTTTCCAGATTACGGACTTCATACCTCCTTCTTTCCACTCAATCCACTGTTGTGTGTTTGATTCAATTTCTGACGTAGTTTAATTCTAATCAGAGAGTGATCCAAAACACAGTCTACTCCACGATAGCTTCTTACATAATGTATTGAGCTCTGATGTCTCTTGTCTACCAGCACATGGTCAATTTGATTTTTCGCTCCTTTAGGGCTAACCCAGGTGTACTTGTGGATATCCTTAAGTAGGAACAACATTGTACTGCTGACGACTACACCTTTGGCTGCTAGCAGACTGATACATCTCACTCCATTGTCAATACTATTTTTGTGAAGGCTTTGGCTCATTATTGCAGATGATAATGAGCCTGAATTGGTATAACATCCTATCTTTGTATTAAATTCACCTATGACTAATTTTATGCCATGCATATGAGCTTGGTCCACAATATTTTCTAACTGATCGTAGAAATCATCCTTCACCTCTTCATCTTTATCTTTGGTTGGTGCATAAACATTAATTATCATGATATTAAACCAATGAACTTTAACTCATAATATAATAATCCTTTCATTTATCGGAGTGAAGTTTAATATTGATTTTCTTGCTGCTGGACTAACTATAAATCCAGTGCCGGCTATTAAATTTTTATCGTTTCTCCTGGAGTAGAATAGTGAATGGCCCTCGATAATAGTTTCACCACCATCTGGCCACCCTATCTCTAGAATGGCTGTTACCGATATGTTATACCTTTTTAGTTCCTTGACTACTGTTTTTACCGCTCCTGGTCTGCATAAACTACATACATTCCAAGATCCAATGTATAATCCGTGTTTCAAAGCAGAGGTCGTTACCATATTTAGACAGACCGATTTTCAAAGGCTTAGTAATAAGTTTATATTTCGAAATAAGTTGTTTTTTTCAGGATAGGGTCATTAGCCCTTTGCCCAACCCCTAGCCTGGAAGACCAGGAGCTATGGTGTAAGACGCAGGGTTCATTCATCTCCCTGTGAATCTCTGGGTGGGGATGTTACCGTTCCCATGAGGGAATGGAACCCGTGCCATAGTGGTTGAAGTAATCAGGTAGCACTTGCAATTTTCATTTTTTAAATTTTTATATTTATTATCATTTATATTGTTCCCGTGAACAGGATTTGAACAGGTTAAGTGTATTTTTGCGCTTTAACTCTCTCGACCACCGTGGCCCTCCACTGTTATATATATACAGATTTTAATTTTTATATTGTTGTAATCTGTACATTTAAATTTTAAATAATGCCAGCACTAGCATTTATGAAAACCTTACATGCATAAGTAGATAATATAATTGGAACCCGTCCACCAAGCTTGAGGGTGCTCAGGTTTCCTCAGCAATTCTAGGTTCCTCATTATCACTCCATTACCCCGAGCGAGAGCGAATTTAAATTTTTGATCGTTCGATACCATCTCTCATTTCTCCTTTATTTCATGATCAATTTTTCCACTATTTATATTTAACCATTTTTATACATTATCTGTATTGTGAAATACTTAATTTTTTAAAACAAACAAAATTAAAGGTACTTAAAAGGAAGACCTTTTTGAAAAATCAACATTTACACCCTGTTGGAGAACATCAATGATGATGATACAATCTACCTCATATTAAAAAACACTTAATTGTACATTAGCATAATGAGTTTAATCAAAATTGTTAAAACCATTTTTGAGAAAAACGTAAAAATCTGTTAAATTGATGATACAAAGTACCACTTCCAGTTTGTTGATTTTTATGAAAATGTTGCTGTAACATCCCAGGCATATAAAAACCTTAAATATGCAATTTCAGATTCCTATGACTTTTTCGTTTTTGAACTAGGCTGTTCATATACATACACACACAGACACAACATAGACCACTTTGTGGGACTTGGTTATTTAGACTAAGGGAACCTCAAAACGTGTATTTCCGTTAAAAATTCAGATTTGAAAATTTTCACGATCGTAATACTTACTCTTACTATATATTACATATATAGATAAGTGAAAGTAAAAATAATAAAAAGTTGTTATTGCAAGATGAGACATAAGAAATGAATATGTTTCTTCCTAATTCAAAAATATACACATACACACATTCACACAGAAGACTTGCAGAACTTCTTCATGAAATACAAATTTTCAGCCAGAACCCTCCTTCTTCATGAAGGGAGAATGTCCTCTTCTTCAAATTGCCACACTGAACAGCTTGTTTCAGCAATAGAAAACTTACATTACATTACTTAGAATGGCTAAATATTATAAGTATATTAAATTTTATTGTCATTTTTAACAAAACTAAAACCAGACAAGGTTATTTTGTTTACAAAATTTATTTAATTTATTCTAAGGTAATAAGTAATATCAACTTTGAATTGGATTTAAAAAACAAATAAAGTCAAACAGTGATTACAATATCCAAGACGATGAGAAATGTTCACAAGATTTCTCATGACTCCCCTATTATTACTGATGAAAGAAAGTGCAAAATGGTAGTTAAACAAATTTTAAAATATTTGGTATAAGTAAAACAAACCTCGTTCACTACTGGAATAATAACATTTCCCATCAGATGATGTCATACTTAGAGCCTGTAATGCATATTTTCGTATATTTACCAGCCTATTTTCCCTATCAAGTAAAATTGTTTCACAATCTTCCACGATCGTTCTAAGTTGTGCTGCAGTAAAGTCAGTAATAGCAGCTTCTATTTTTTGCTTCAAACAGCCTATCACCTTAAACAAAATATAAACATATAATACTAAATTCGAGAAAATTCCTATAATGTATATATTAATTTCCTAAATAAGATCTTAATTACTTCCACCTAACATCAAATAAAAATAAACAATTTAGATTCAAGTCATAATTTTTTACATGATAAATCAAATGAAATGATAATGTATTTTGAACACAAAAGGCGACTTATAAATAATGGAAAATATTCAAAGAAGTGATATGATAGTAGATCTCGAGAGTAACAAAAAAGTGCATACAAACCATGGTCCAGTATTCCATGAAGAAAAGCAGGATTTTTTAAAATTTTGACTTTGTTAAAATTGTTTCAAGGAAGCTTACGAGACCCTATATCACTGGACTACAGGATCCATCCCCACTAATAGAAAAACTTTCTTATTCAGTAAATTATAATGACAGAAGGTGGAGATCTTGTGGTAAGGGAATGGACAGAGGACTTGAATTGGAGAAGTTTGTAGGCTTAGGAAGGACGATGGCTGTTGATAATATGATAAACGAATGTGCCTAAGAAATATTGTCTTCGGAAGGAGGGGCCACCCTAACTCAGTATAAAGGTAAGAGACACAGGAAGGTCTCTCACCAACAAATCTGACAAAGCTATTCATAAGTTTCTTCAGTTTGTCACCAAATCCACCAAACACCATACAGCCATAGTCCTGTTTGGGAAAAGAAACTAAGAGTCTATGGGTAGATTCGGGTATGAGGTGGCGCAAACAATGGAATAATTTGAGAGTGGAAATTGATCGTTCAGGAAATTTCTCTTCAAGAATGTTGGACACTTGGGATTGCACTAGTCTTTCCAGGGATTTTGAGATTTTATTTAAAGGAAGGACAATGGTTTTTTTCCAAGATGCAGGGAACACTGCAACTAAAACAAAGTAGCAGAAAGCAAGTCAGCTTACATTCATTTCAATCAGAATACAATCATAACTGTGAAGCATAAAGACTTTTTGTCAAATGTTTACAACAAGAGTCATCTGATTAATACGCTGAAGGTTAAACTACAGGCCAAGAAAATTAGAACCCTTCAAGCAAAAAAGGATGATGTTCTCATAGCAGACATGGCTGTAGAGTTGTCACATACCACTTCTGTTGCTGTCATTGGTGAGAATGTTGGTCTAGTACACTGGTTGATGGCCAACACACCTGGTGACCATGCACATAATTTTTGGCAAGCCTGGTCGTTGAAACAAGAAAATTTTATTCTATTCTAACGTGGAGCTTCAGTCCCAAGGGTTGCGGGACATACTCAGGGTGTCCAGTGATTGTCCTATAAAAAATTCCCCTACATTTTTTGGTTTTTCTAGATTTTTACAGTTATTTTCATATTTTTCTCAGTTTTTACCCCAATATCTCTAAATATCTCTGTTTAACATGAGATGTTTGGTTTCAAGACAGGTTACATCAATTTATTGAAAAAAAATAAACATTTTTTTATTTTTCACAAATTTTTAATGTTTATTTTTATAAAATTAGATGTATTGGTATCAAACCCATTTAGATATTAAAAAAAACAATACTGAAAAATTCGATTTCCTACCAAAAGTACTTCTCTCTGCCCTACTACAGTGTTACATAACTGGTAGTAAACTGTATTTGCCTTGTTAATCCTGTTTGTATTTCTGCGTCTACCTTCCCAGATCAGTCTATCACTGTACCCAGGTATGTGAAGTCTGTCACCACTTCTAATTCTTCTCCATTACAGTATACATGGATATCTTCCTTTTTTCTTCCAACTTGTAGGATCTTATTTTTGTTGGTATTTATAAGCATTCCTTTTCGATGGAGCTCTTCATTCCGTAACTGCCAATTGCAACTTTTCCACTGAATCCGTAATCAATACCACGTCTTCGGCATAGAGTAGAAGCTGTATCACTACAGGATTAAGATTCCTACATCCCAAGAATGTCCTGTCCGTTCTTCTCTTACAAATGGATGCCACTTCATCCAAGAACAACAATGGGCTTAGGCTGTCTCCTTGAAACACGAGCAGCTGTGGCAAAGGCTCTATGATTTAGGTTTAAGAAGAAAAATCCTGAAATTTATCATGAATCTATTGCCTCTACGATTAGGTTAAGATCTATATATGAAATTTCTTTAACAACAGTGAATAGGTTTTCGTCTTTGGCTATGGGAACATTATCGATTTTAACAAAGTTTCTAAACCGGAATTGTGAGCTATCTTGCGTTTCCACTCTCATTTCTGAGAGTTGTTTACGTATTAGGATTTCTTGCTTTAATTTAACTATATTACTTTTACAACTCTTGAGCTTTACACCAGGAATTATTAAATTCAGTTTGTAATTGAGGGATGGTGTCTTTCAAATTTTGATCATCAGTTTGTAGGCTTTTCAATTTATCATTTAAAGATCTTATATCGCATGCATTCTTTAACGTTTAGCTTCATTAAAAATTTACTTAAAAAACTTTTTGTAACAGCCCAATTTGAAGACAATAATTCATGTTTGAAGTAGAGTGGTAAAAGAAAGTTGTGTGATGCCCACACCTTATTTTTAAATATGTTTTCATGTTTAAATTATTCTGTAACTATCCACCTTTAATAAAGGGCCAATTATGACAAAAATAAGTCAAATGATGAATCTCAGTGACTGAAGAACTAATTCAAGTCAAAGTCTTCAATCCGCCATGTTTGGACGCCATTTTGGGACAGTGCGGTCACTTTTTTTTTAAGGTTACTGTATACTGTACATCCAAAGTTTGACGGGGCGCTCTTCAAGCTCGGTGGATGTCTTGTATCCTGTCTAGATGACCATACGGTAGAATGGTTCAAGAAGATAACACCTAGCATCACAATCAAGGAAGGTCTAACATTACGAGCTTGTGAGGCAGGTGACCTAACAAAAATCATCAGGATTGGAGCCTTCTTTCCAGGAAAGGCTCTACCTGCTGATTACTACTTAAACCGGCTCTAGATCCAAAATCAATCAATAATTGAAATCAACACCTGGACAGTGTTCAATTTCAAGGCTCTGGAAAGAGGATCCTTTGGAGTATTTAATATACCGGAGACCAGCCTCCAGAGCCTCACTTCACATGGGATGCAGGCCTGCTGCAGAGTTTACTTCATAACCTTCAGGCACTTGGCGTCAGGAAGTATGCCCGCTCCAGAGGAAATGCAGGAGGAGGAGGCGCCGAGGGCAGGCACATCTAAGGAGAGGGAGAACAGGGAATCTTCCTCTTCTGAAAGGATTGCGTCGAGGACGGGGTCGAGGCCGTCCGCCGGGTCAGGAGGCGGGGCCAAAGGAACCAGTGAAAACTGGTTACAGAGGCGAATTCCGGCCACTGTTGTGGTCTGGTGGCCAGACCTCGGTCTCGCGGCATTCCTCAAATACTGGTGGGGGTTCGAAAGCGAGGTCGAGTGGTGGGGAGATACCAAATGACAAGGTGAAAACAGTCTGAAAAACCACCCTCCAGAAAATAAATCATTTAACCAATTATGAAACTGCTGCAGATCAAAATCCACCACTGCATTGCGGCATGTAGTGTATTGCTATTGTGTAACAGTAGATAAAAGGTAAGGATATTGATGTTATCTTAATTCTTGAACCTTATTTATATGAAGGCAGGATCAAGGGACTTAATATGCATGGGTATGGAATAATTTCTGCACCCACATATCCTAGAGCCTGCCTTCTTTATAAAAATAAACTACAACTGCTGCCTCTATGGCAATTCTGTTCTAGAGATCTTGCAGCAGCCAAATATACCCATCAAGGGTATAAAAGAACAACAATCATAGCGGCGGTATATCTGCCATATGAACACCCAGAACCTGCAGAGGGAATGGATGAATTACTAAGATGCAGTGGGAAAACTGTAGCTGCCCTGGATGCTAATGCACATAACGAGATCTGGGAGAGCTCAAACACTAACTCTAGAGGTGAGAAACTCTTAGAGACTATAATTAAATACGATCTTGATATTCTGAACAAGGGGAACAAGCCTACCTTTTGTAATAGGACTAAAACGGAGATCATAGAAATAACACTAGCGACTCGATTGATTACTGTCCTTATAGACAACTAGCATGTCTCTGATGAAGAAACATGCTCGGATCACAGGTATATCAGATTTGATATATCTGACAGAATACAACATGATGTGGAATATAGAGATCCCAAACGTACAGACTGGGCGTCCTATAGTTCTAACTTGGAGGCGGCTGTTAAATGCTGCCCCAAAGTTATCCACAATACATGGCATTTAGAATGTTTAAATACTTCAATTACTGATGCTATGACTAGAGCATATCTGGCCAGTAATGAAGCTAAAAATACCATAACCAACAGGAAAGTGTCCTGGTGGAATGGTAGTCTAACAAAGCAAAGAACACTCACAAGGAGATTGTTCAATGCTGCTAAAACATCTGGCAATTGGGATACCTACAGGAAAGCTCTTACTGAGTATTACAAATCTGTCAGGAAAGCCAAAAGAAAAGCCTGGAAAAGGTTTTGTCTTGAGGTTGATAACATTTCGGCGGTATGTAAAGTAAACAAAATACTGTCAAAACAAACCAACACAGGTACGATGGTACCTGGAACACTCAAACATGAGGATAAATACACCGCAAATGAAATAGAAACGTTGAGTTTTTTAGCAAAAGCTCATTTCCCAAGTTGTTTTACGACAGTAATGGAACCTCTTGACACCAATACACAGGATAGTGGTACTGGTGCACATATGTGGGGTCTTGCAAGAAGAGTGATTACAAACAGCAGACTTGAATGGGCAGTGAATTCATTCTCTCCATTTAACTCTGCTGGAACTGATGAGATCTGCAGAAGGGTCTCTCAGAGATAAGGCCATACCTTCTGGAATTACTAAGAGGTAGCCTAGCACTGGGATATCTACCATGTAAATGGAGGATATCCAAGGTGCGATACATTCCTAAACCAGGAAAAGAGTCTTACGAAGACCCCGAGGCATTTAGGCCAATATGTCTGTCATCTTTCATAAT